GGAGCAATCCTCCCACCTCACCCTCCCAAGTAGGTGGGACTACCAGCATGCACCAACACACTGAGCTAATTTTTGTATTTTTGGTAGAGAGAGGGGTTTCTTATGTTGCCCAGGTTGGGCATAGCCTCACCTCCTCAAGCGCCAGGACAACTGGCCTGAGCCACTGTGGCGCCCAGACTTTCTTAGAGCCACTTTAGGTTCACAGCAAAACTGAGTGAAAAGGTCCAAGTTCCTGCATCCCCCCTGGCAGCCCCAGCTTCCCATCTGTTGCTGTCAATGAAGCGGCATCGGTGCCGTTGGACATGCGATGGGTTTGATGGACCCACCACTGCAGGATCATACATACTTCATTTTAGACAAGAAAAATTACAAACATCTCTAGAAGACAGGCTAGCATACAGTTGGCCCATTGTATCCATGGGGATTCCATGTCCACAGATTCAACCAACCACAGATTGGAAATATTTGGAAACAAGAATAAAAAATAGTACAAGTAAACAACGCACTGTAGGCTGGCATAGTGGCTCATGCCCTATAACCCAGCACCTTGGGAGGCCAAGGTGGGCAGATTGCTTGAGCCCAAGCATTCAAGACCAGCCTGGGCAAAATAGCAAGCGAGACCCGTATCTCTACAAAAAAAATAAAATTAGCCAGTCACAGTGACATACACCTGTAGTCCCAGCTACTTGGGAGGCTGAGATAGGAAGATCACTTGAGCCTAGGAGGTCAAGGATGTGGTGAGCCAAGATCACAGCACTGCCCTTCAGCCTGGGCAAAAGAGTGACACCCTATCCAAAAAAAAAAATCCAATACAGTGTATAATAGCTATTTGCATAGCATTTATATTGTATTAAGCATGATAAATAATCTAGAGATGGTTTAGACTCTATGGGACCAGGCCTGCTGACTCGTCTGTAATCCCAGCACTTCGGGAGGTTGATGCAGGCAGATTGCTAGAGTCCAGGAGGTTGAGGCTGCAGTGAGCCATGACTGCACCACTGCACTCCAGCCAGGGTGACAGAGCAAGACCTTGACTCAAAAAAA